AGCTCTGAAAGAGGCTGAATAATAAAAATCTGAAAAATACACTAATTATTTAATTAATTACGAATCTAGTCTGTTTGATGGGTAGAATCTTTTAAAAGCTCCCAAAGCATGGGAGAAACAAGTCAAATGGGTCATCTCCAGGGAACCTCTAAACTCTGATCTTCAAGTTCAAGTCTTTGCAGAAATCCCATTTTACGCTTGTTCCTCCCCAGCTTTAGAAACCTCAGCTCTAGAATACCGTTTACACTTCTCAGCCTGGCATTCAAGACCCTTCTCATCTGGCCCGAATCAACTTCCCCAAGGTACTTCCCTTCCTCGCCTTCGACACAGAGCATTCATTTGTTCCGGCCAGACCGTTCTCTGCATTACTGCCTTGGGCATATGTACAGTCTCACCTCCACACCGTGGGTGGTGACATTCCCTTTGTGATGTTCTCTGTATTTATTCAGATGAATAATCCCTGGGTAATTTGTTCAATCAATGAAAATTTATGAGCACTAACCACATGCCCAAAATGTGAGATACATACATACATACACACACACACACACACACACACACACACACGAAGTACCAGTTGTCTCCCCAAGCCCCAACTATTCCAAGTAGGTTAGGAGGTACTAGCAGAAGAACATAAATGACTCTAATGCGAAGTAATCATGTTATGGTGTCCTAAGAAAGGAATATGCTGTGGAATATATCCTATAAAGGAGAATGTTGGGGAGATTTAGGAAAGGGAGAAAGAGAGGCTATTCATGAACATGGTACATATTTCCATTTACTTGGGTCATCTTTAACATTGGTCTTTTTTTTTTTTAACAACAGACAAAAAATGATATTTATTAAAAGAATGGCAGGCAAAGGATTAATATCTCTGATCTACAGTAAGTACATACAAATTAATGAGATCAGTAAGTCTTGCCCCTAAGTAAATCAACAGAGACTAGTCACAAAAGAAATGACTAATTGGCAAATGTGTGGGAAAATGTTTGGTTTTCATTAAAAAAAAAAAAAAGTCATAAGTTAAAACAAGATATTCTCTTTCCTCTATCAAATTAGCAAAGATTTTAGGCTATCATAAAGGTAATGGCCAGAACAGTGAAATGAGCAGTTGAATTCATCACAGGTAGAAGCATATATTAACCTTAACATTGGTCTTTCAAGAATGCTCTGTAATTCTCTCCTTTTAAGCCTTGTTTATTCCTTCATATCCAATCTTCTTTTATTCCACTGCAAATGTTTACAAATTCTAAGTGTTCTAGATATACAAAAATGCAATTCATTTTTGTATCCTGACTTTTTGTACCCAGCCACCTTCCAAACGCTCTTACTATTTTTCTAATAATTTGACCACAGATTTTGGGGGGAGTTTCTATGTATGCAATCAATCTATAAATAAGAGTGGTTTTATGTCTTCCTTTTTAATCCTTACATCTTTAACATGTGTTTCAGCCCTATGGTGCCAGCCAGCATGACCCATTAAGCTCATTGCTGATTTTAAAGGGATATTTCTTTTTCTTCTTCTTCTTTTTTAAAAGGTTTTTTTTTATTTATTTGACAGAGACACACACAGCGAGAGAGGAAACACAAGCAGGGGGAGTCGGAGAGGGAGAAGCAGGCTGCCCACTGAGTAGGAAGCCCATGCGGGGCTCGATCCCAGGACCCTAGGATCATGACCTGAGCCAAAGGCAGATGCTTAACGCCAGAGCCACCCAGGCATCCCTAAATGGCTATTTCTAACATTCCGCCTTTATAAATGTTTGCACCACATTAACAAGGAGATCAAATATCACCATTATTACCAATAATAGGACAAACTGACATGTCACAGGATGTAATCAACTGAGGATACAGTGCCATTTGTTTAACATTCTTGCCCCAAATGTATATTATATATCTCATCATGAGGAAAAAAATGTCAAAAATCCAAATTTTAAAATGTTCTGCAAAATAGCTGTCCTTCAGCTCCTTAAAAATGTCAGTATCACAAAATAAAGTAGAGCAAGAGATTTGACAACCAAATACAATGAACGATTCTCAGCTGGATTCTGGACCAAAAACAAAATTTCTATACATACGCATATGGAGAGAAAGATATACAAGAGAAAAAGTAAACCTGGCAGAATGTTAGCAAGAGGTGAATCTAAACAAAAGGTTTTAAAACTTCTATTTCTTATGTTAGTGAAATTCTCTTTTCCTCGTTTGCTAAGAATCTGTATCAGGAATGGTTAACTGAGTATTACCAAGGCTTTTTTCCTGTATTTATGGAGATGACCATATGGCTTTCTCCTTTCCTTTGTTAATATAATGATTTACATTTATAGATTTATTAATATTAAACTGTCCTGAGTTTCTGGAATAAATCCAACTTGGTTAGAATATATCTTTTTTTAAAATTCACTGCTAGATTTGGTTTGCTAGCCATTTTACATACATCTTGAGTGAGGCTGGCCTGTCATTTTCCTTTCTTGTTCTCTCCTTGTCTGGTTTTGGAATCAAGGTTACACAGGCTCACAGAACAAGGAGGGGAGCCATCCCTCTTTTCCTATTCTCCAGAAATGTTTGCGAAAGATTGAAATAATCAGTTCCTTGGAAGTTATACAGCAATGGACTGTAAAATCACATGAACTCTACGGTATCATCTTTATGTATGCGATCTTGTGAAATGTAGCATATAAAAAAGGCATAAAACATAAGTGTTCAGCTTAATGAATTGCTGGAAAATAAATTACCCATATATCTGCCACCCTCTCAGGCTAAGACATGAACTATTATGAGCAACACAAAGGAGACCCCCCCACCCCCCCACCATGGGACCCTTTCCGATCATAACACCCCCCCTCCCTCAGGTGGTGATAGTTATCCTGGTTTCCTGGACAGTGTCTTGCTTGCTCTTAAAGTTTTTCTACTTACTTATACATCCCTTAAGGTAGAGTTTAATTTAGCCTGTATCTATCTTTACATAAACAGAAGGAGACAGTTTATAATTTGTTTGGTATCTTTCCCTCAAAGCTGTCATTAGGATTCACCCATGTTTGGGGCACCTGGTGGTGCAGTTGGCTGAGCGTCCCGACTCTCGGCTTCAGCTCGGGTCTGATCTCAGCGTCATGAGATCGAGCCCCGTGTCGGGCTCTGTGTGGGGGGGCCGTGCGTGCTCAGTGCGGAGTCTGCTTGAGATTCTCTCTCCCTCTGCCCCTCCTCCTGCTCTCTCTCTCTAAAATAGATAAATCTTGGGGCGCCTGGATGGCTCAGTGGGTTAAGCCTCTGCCTTCAGCTCAGGTCATGGTCTCAAGGTCCTGGGATCGAGCCCCGTATCAGGCTCTCTGCTAAGCGGGAAGCCTGCTTCCCCCTCTGTCTCTGCCTGCCTCTCTGCCTACTTGTGATCTCTCTCTCTGTCAAATAAATAAATAAATTAAATATTTTTAAAAAAATAAATAAAAACAAAATTTAAAAAAATAGATAAATCTTTAAAAAAAATGGTGCCTGGGTGGCTCAGTCGTTTAAGCCTCTGCCTTCAGCTTGGGTCATGATCTCGGGGTCCTGGGATTGAGCCCCACATCAGGCTCTCTGCTCAGCAGGGAGCCTGCTTCCCCCCTCCCGCCCCCGCCTGTCTCTCTGCCTACTTGTAATCTCTCTCTCCCTGTCAAATAAATAAATAAAATCTTTAAAAGAAAAAAAGATTCATCCATGTTGTGGTATGTATGTATGTTGTTTCCTTTTCATGATTATGTACATTCCCTAGTATGGATACATCACGATTTATTCATGTAATTCTTTGGACATTTGAGTTTTTGTAGTTCGGTGACAATATGAACCACAATGCCACGCACAGTGTCGTCACTGTGTCCTGGCACACAGAAACACTGCGTGGACATACCTCGCAGTGGAATCTCGGGGTCGCAGGGTGTGTGTATTTTCCTCTCTACCAGAAACTGCCACGTGTGGTTCCAAAACACAGGCGACAGTTCACCCTGTCCCTGGAAGCATCTGAGAGTTCACGAGGCTCCGCATCCTCACCACCACTCACGATTCCTAGCTCCTCACATGTTCCCCGATCTGGTGGTCGTGGTGGTATCTCATTGTGGGCTGCTGGTGAGATACTCCTCAAGGGGGATTTAAAATTTATCTTTTGTAACTGATTTCTAATTCAGTTCCATTTGGACCAGAAAACTCGGTGTATGAGATTCCATTTTGTGTTATGATTTTAACTTCTGAAGTCCTTCGTCAGGGGGCGAGGGACAGGGTGTCTAAGCCTGTTGTTCCTTGTTTCAGCTGACTCTCATTCATGGTGGCTCACATGCCTAACATCACTCTGTAGGAGTTCTGTCCACATGCGGGATGCTTTCCTCTGGGGACACTCCCTGCCTGGCTCTGCTGGGAACCAGAGGCACTAGTAGCCATTATCCCTCTAGTCCCTTTGGACATTCTGCCTTGAGCCGACTCAGGCTCGGTTGGATCCTGAAAAGGTCTGCTGTTAGGTTAAGTTATATGAAACTACCCCTTTGGGGTTAAAAAAAACCTGTGAAACATCAGCAATTGCATATAGTGTAACCTATACTGGTAACCTTTGCCTACAGGACAAGCTACTGCTTTCTGTTCGCTTCCCGCTTCCCTCTCTCAGGCTGTTGACTCAAGATTTGCTTCTTTTTGTTGGGGAGGGGAGGTGGCTTTGGCGATTTCCCCAATGTCTTGTGAGCCCAGCAATGCATTACAAATTATATCTGATTCAGGAGTGAGCTATTTTGCTATGGGGTGGAAGACAGGTCTTGGGAGTAGCTAGGCAACTGCTAAAAGCAGAAATCCCAGGATACGTATCTTTTTTTCCCAATGAGGAAACCAAGGCTCAAAGAAGTGAAAGAACTCAAGGTCACATGGCTGGTAAGAGGCAAGGTTAGGATCTGCAGCCACGCATGAGACCAGAAACCCAGGCTCTTTCTACTTCGCTGTCTGCACTGCCTCCAGAGGGCTGTGTGGGCCCGAAGCTTAGCCGGTGGCCTTACCTGGTTCAAGGGAATGACGAAGAAGGCCCCCCCACAGGAGCACTCAGTCACGACTGCAATGAAACAGGGGTTCACAGCGCAGAAGTGATTGTCTTGGACGCTGTGGGTGATGGGCACCGAGTCGTAGCAGTTCTCCTTGCTGGCTGGTTTGCCAAAGACGTGGCGAAATTTGGAGCTCCGGTACTGGGAATGCCATGACATCTATGGGAAACGAACAGGACAAGGCGGGGCGTGAGGCTCGTGACGCTGACAGCAAGACACCTGGGGAGTCCCTCTGGAGAGGGCAGGACCAGGGCAGCGGTCGGCTCTATGTGGACAGGGTGCTATCAAGGGCAAGCAAACGAACAGGATGTCATTGTGGCGACTTCTGTGGTTCTGGTGAGATGGTGTATGATTATCCCCGACCTGTTTGCTTGTCATCTCTTCACCTGTCGATCCGAAGGGCAGAAACGCCAGAGAGAAAACTCCCATTTCCTATCGGCCCACCCCACTCCAGCCCAGCGATGTGGGTCACACTGTGTCCTCTGGACCCAGCCTGCCTGGGCTCCAATTCCAGCTCTGCCTCTTACCGGCTGGATGAGCAAGTGACTTAACTTCTTCGGCCTCGGATTTTCCCATCTGTAAAATGGGGATCACAAAATCATCTGTCTCACAGACTTGTCGTGAGGACTAAATCATAGGTCCCTTGATTTACAGTCTTAATTACTATCACGATTATCGTCCAGGCATCTTGAGCTTCCTTAGCTCCTCATTCGGCCCCGTATTTGTTCACTCTAGTTACTGAGCGCCACTGTGTGACGAGGTCCTGTACCTGGCACCGGGGGTTTGGAGAGAGTAAGCCTGAGCCCGCCTTAGAGAAGTGAAGAATCCTGTGGGAAGATGGGCCACTGGGATCCGGTATACTACAGATAATAATAAAGGTTAGTACATGGCAGTCTGGGAGGGCTTCCCAGAAGAAGTGACAAGTGAGTTGTGATTTGAAGGATGAGTAGGAGTTGGCGGGGAAAAAGGTAAGGTGCGGGGAAGATGTCCCAGGCAGATGGAACAGCCTGAGCAAAGGCCCTGAGAGAGAAGCAAACATGGAATGTTTGAGGAATTACATGTGGTTTTATAATATTAGCAAGGAAATGTGAGAAAGAAAAAAATATATATATGCACACACACACATAAACATGGATACGGGACGATGGGAGTGAAGAGAGCACAAGCCGGAGGGGTGAGCATGGCTAGGCCATGGATGGCAGAAGAGGGTCTCAGCTTCATGAGCGGCCAAACACATGGGGCCTTCCAGCCCTGCTGCGGCCTGGGTCAAACCCCTGACCCCAGGCTCTGGCCCCACTGGGTCTGCCCGTCCACGCTCCTCATCTAGGCCAGAGAGACACCAAGCCTAGCTGTTGTATTCCTCACCCTCCTCCCCTACCTGAGGTCACCCTTGGTCACTCTGGACTGACTACCGCCCTACAAAGGCCAAAGCCAGCCTGGCACTCAACGCCTTCCAGTGAGGTTCCCCTCCGATATTCCAAGATGCACCTTTTCTTGCTCATCTTTTAAAATGTACTTTCTAGGGGCGCCTGGGTGGCTCAGTGGGTTAAGCCGCTGCCTTCGGCTCAGGTCATGATCCCAGGTCCTGAGTTCAAGCCCCGCATCAGGCTTTCTGCTCGGCGGGGAGCCTGCTTCCTCCTCTCTCTCTGCCTGCCTCTCTGCCTACTTGTGATTTCTGTCAAATAAATAAATAAAATCTTAAAAAAAAAATAAATAAAACGTACTTTCTAGATAAAGAACCTCCCAGGTTCCCTTGTACCTTGTACCTTGTACCTCTTGCATTTCCAGTCCCTAGTCTTCCCCCTCTGCTTGGCCTGCCCTTCCCAGTAATCCTTGTACCCATCTCCACAAGCCCAAACCCTCCCTTCTTCAGCACCCAGGGCCCTCCTCCAGAGTCTTCCTTGCTACCTTAGGTAGCAGAGCTCCGGTCCTCTCCTCTCTTCTAACGCCACCAGCTGTGTCTCCTGCCTGCCCTCAGGCCCGACACTGCATGCCCTGATTCCTGCGTCTGGTGTCAGGGCTCACCTCCTCTGCCACCGGCAGGTTCCTCAGAGAAAGACCTGGAGCTCTGCTGCAGGAGTGCCCAGCACAGAGCTCTGCTCACCCCCAGGCTCTAGGAAATTCCCAAGGGCAGGCATGTTTGGCTGGGCACCCCCAGGGTTAGCACAAAGAAGGCATCTGCTCTGTGGTTAAGTTCAAAGGCACAAGATTAGACTGTTGACCTCAAGAGGTCACGGTGGGGGCCCCTGGGTGGCTCAGTGGGTTAAGCCTCTGCCTTCAGCTCAGGTCATGATCTCAGGGTCCTGGGATTGAGCCCCGCGTCGGGCTCTCTGCTCAGTGGGGAGACTGCTTCCCCCTTTCTCTCTGCCTGTCTCTCTGCCTACCTGGGATCTCTCTCTGTTAAATAAATAAATAAATAAATAAATAAAATCTTAAAAAAAAAAAAAAAAAGAGGTCACAATGACTGGGGGTCTGACATGTGAGCCCAACCCTCCCCAGGAAGCCCACCAGCCTCCTGGGACAGATCTGTCCTTCATAGCTCAGCCATTTCAACTCTCTTTTCAGGAGATACATTTGCTAGAGCTCCAGGAAGCCGCCCAGAATGCAGGGAGAGACTAATTGACGTCCATCCAGTCCCAGAAAGGATGTAAGAAGCCTTACAGAAGTGGAGAGCACGCAAGATAGAAGCACATGGAAAAGCCACAGAGAGGCAATGGGGACAGAGGGAAAATGCAGGAACAAAGAGATCCCCGAGATTCGGGGGAGCTGAGCTACTGAATGTGTGCTGTCAGATCCACCACACAGTGGAGGTGCTCCTCTGACGTGGGTCTGAGCCTCTCAGTGGCCAATTCAATAAGGGAAACCGAGTTGGAAAGGGATTTAATCAGTGTGTGGAAGATATAAGACACATGCTAGGTGTAGCCCATCTTTTCTCTGCACTGGGTCCTGAGGGAAATGGGTCCTGGGGACCTTCTTACAAAAGAACAGCAAGGACCAAGATGTCCCTAGGCTCTTGGTCATTACATGGCAGCTGAGGAGCTGCCTTGGGCCGGGGCTAGGGGTAGGAAAGCAGGGGGCAAGTCAGCAGGCTCAGCTCCAAGCCCCCCAACTCTGCCTCACCTTCAGCAGCAGCAAATGTTGGACACATGGCGTGACAGAGACATAAACCGGCAGAGCGAACCACTGAGCAAGTGGGGCTGTTTGTCACGGAGGGCAGTCTATCCGTCCCAACACCCTGCCCTGAGCAGCCCCAACGAGTGGTAGCCTGGCGATGGCCACCTATGCTTGGTGTGGCTGGACCATAGGAACCCAGAGGGAGAGGTAGGCAGGGAGGCAGGACTCACATCATCTCAGGAGCCATGGAAAAGAACTTAAACTCTCAGGGCAAGGCAGAGCTGCTGCAGGGATTCCAACAGGGGCCGAGGAGCTGAGCTCACTTTTGGGTGATTCCCTTGATTGCCAAGAGCAAGACAGCATGGAACAGGTGAGAGGTGAGGATCACCTGGGCTGAAGCAGGGCAGAGGGGACAGAGAAGGGGGACAGGTCAGTGGAAAAGCAAGGCGGGGGGATAAGCTGGCCTTTGTGTCACGTGCTGTGGGCAGTGGGGTAAGAGGGCCAGTGGTAGCTGCAGAAATCACCTTGACCTAAGCGGCATCACCCGTCTGGGCCCCTCCTGCCACCCCTGGTGCTCTTCCTTCACAGCCTGGCGCTCGGCCCCACACTTGAGGGATGGCTCCCCGCCCAGGGTCAGGGTCAGGGTCAGGAGGCCTCAAGAGGCCCGGGCAAGGACCCTCTTTCAGCTCAGTCACTCCACGGCAATGACAACTCACAGTTTTCAGGGTGCTTGCTACGTGCCCGGTGTCATTCCCCGTGCTTCCCTGTATGGACTTAACAGGTAGCTGCTACCTTGCTCCCCACTACAGAGGCAGAGAAGTTGAGGCAGAGAAGCAAAGGAGAACCCACTTGAGGTCACACAGCGAGCAAGCTGGAGCTGAGGGCTGAAGCCAGCCCCCACCCCCCCAGCCTCCAGCTCCAGGTTCCCGCAGATAATGACGGTGATGAGAAGTCTCCTTCCTACCCATCACATGCTTGATCTCGCCTCAGCCTGGAAGCAGAGGCATCACGGCCATTCTCACCCCCACTTTACAGAAAAGTAAAACAAGGCTCAGGAAACTACGTGGACACCTTCTGGAAAGAGGGCTCTTTGCTTCCATTGTTGAAGCCAGTGACTGTGGAACAGCGACAGAAAGCTAAAACTGTGTTCACGACCTTCTGTCCCCTTGCCCCCAACTCCACTCCCCACTCTACCCCACCCTACCCCACCCCAGGCGCCTTATCTCCCCTGGCAAAGTTCTTCCAGACCTGTTGCCTCAGATGGAAACGTGCAGAAGTGGGGGATGGAGCCAAGCCTGGCCGTCTCTCCCTCTGCCCGCAGTATGGGAGTGTGCACCCATATACGTGGGTGAAGTCTGTGCAAATGTGTGCTGTGTGCAAATGCGTGCATGAGTGCAGCATTCATCATATGCACGGGTGTGCAAGCACGTGGGCATCTCTTTGGGTGTTCGGTTGCATCTGGGCGTGCATGGGTGTTATCTGTGCATAAATGAATTTAGGGACTCAGCAATTCAGAGAATGGATTTTATTTCCCCCACAAGCAGGCACTTGTCTGGTAATGTGGACTGCAGTGGGCCCTTGGGACCTGGAGGGCCCTCGCCCATGGGCTGGGCCAGAACGGCCTATCTGGGCCAGGTTTAGCCCTTGCCACCAGTCCTGTCCTGCCTAGTGCCATCCAGTGGGCCCACATCAAAGCCACAGCATGCCTTCTTAGGTGTGGCAGGCTGGCTCGCTGGGGTGCAAAGTGGGGGGGTGGCTTGTGCGGCTGCTATCCCCATGCGTGTCTAGCAGGCCTGATGCCACGGGATTAGGCTTTGTGGGCTGCAAATTCCCTGCTTCCCGCCCCGCCCCAAAAGATTAGTCATCTCTGGGTTTTAACATCCCATTGAGTTTATTTCTTAACGCCTGACAGGAGAATGGCTTGGTGCCTGTCCCATCCCTTCCAGCTCCCCTGCCAGGTAGGTGCAGGCTCTTGTCCCACTTGAGGGCAAAACTGAGGTGCCGGGGAAGTGACTTAACCAAGATCAAACTAACAGGAGCAATGG